AGCAAAACTTGATCGAACCATGGTATATTCAAATTATGTGATTAAAGAAACCGATCCGCATTGATAAAAAGGGAAAGGAACTAAAAGATGTGTTGCCTTTACTTCGCTTTTTTTATCCACAGCAAGGGGATTGACTCATTCTGATGACACGTCTTCATGTTGATTTGAGAGACAGTTGATATTCGGAGGCAAAACCTTATTCTTCCCCCAGAACGTGCAAAATGCCGCATTGTGTTATCAAACAGATTTCGTCAGATTATTTATACAAAATTAGTTTCTGTATGGGAAAAGAAATTGAGCTTGAATACCAACCTGGACTCCTTCATCGCATATCGCAGTATGCTCAAAAAGGAAAAAAAAACTTCATTTCCTTAGATTTTCAACCTTAAATGGCATGCGAATTTGGGTTAAAGTTACAATAATTGTAAGACGTGTGTATTTAATGTCAAATCACAAGCTAAATGCAAAAACAATTATGTAAAATGCAAATTGACCTTCCAAAGGAAATCAAAACGAAGGTGTATGATGGTGTTTTCTTTTTCCTACTGCTTAAACTGAACTTACTTAACCTACCAGGACTTCGGTACTGAGGACTCGACAGTTCCGTCTTGACTTGGAACTCACTCAAGACTGGATCTGCTTCCCCGCTTAGCACCGCGGAAACACTACGCCCATTCTCCTCATATATCCCACCATTGTTCTGCAATACCGGCGTCAGTGGTAGTGGATGCGAAGGCATCATTGATCGTGGAGTAGCGTAGGCAGCCTCAGGAGGAAAGGTTTCAAAACCTCTACCACCCTTCATTGATTGGCCATTATTGAGTTGGTGAGGTGTCACAGTGTAGTGTGGATAGGTCAGAGGATAGGGATCGCGATGGCTGTTGTCTCCAGGACTGGAGTTCTGCTTCAGGCGTGACATCTTAGAGACCTCAGAACGGGCTACGTGGTGCTCGTGAACTTGAGCAGCTGCTGGGTACTTGTCCAACCAGCGCGGCTTCGTCCCATCTTCTAAAACAGGCGGAATGCTTTCCTTAATTCTTGTGCACAATTTTTGGCACTTTTTTATGCCAATTGCGAAAACATAGGAACCGAGAGCTTAACATGCTAAGTTTAATGCGAACCACATTCTTAATCTTAAAAAGAGTCAAAATGTTTTAAATCGCACAGTTTATCCAAACTGTGCTTATTTCTGCTACCCACGAATGGCTCTGAATATCAACAACTGGGTGACGGTGCTAAGGCGTAGAGGGGTGTGGCCAGTTAACGAAGACGTGGTTACATCTATTTTCATACTAATGACTACAATGGAATCTCTAAACAGTCTTTTGCAAGGGTGGGGGAATGAAAGACCTCAATTGTCGCCGCTCACCACAGCGATGTGATTATGCTCTCTGTATTAGCCAAGATCCCATTAAGACAATCGCCTCTCAATGGAATAATATACGCTGCCTAAGAAAGAGTTGATCACCTACTGCATTTGTGAAGATATTGTAAAAAACTTGATGGACCGTGCCTTTATAATTGCATCCTCGTGAGTTTGATCGCAAAAGGATAGCCCTTGATTCGTCAAGACTATAGCATCAAAGGCTTACGGATTTGGGATTCAATTAATCATGTGTAACAGGACCGAAAATTTTACTCCAATTTTAAAAGATTTTCAACAAAATTCGCATATTAGGACCTCATGTTGACAACAATACTACCGTCTAGATGTAGCACGAATATACTTGGAGTAATGGGACTTAAAAGTTGCTGTAGCTCCTGAGCCCTGACTCCCACCTCCAGGTTTGGGAGCAATGAGCAGTAAAAGTTGGCAAAGGACACGCAACCCGTTCCTGGTAAAAAAAACTGAATGTTATTTGATATCACATCTATTCAACAGGGACATTTAGCGCCTCATTTCAGCTTAAAGTTAGAAAACCAACCTTCTTCACCTAAAGTGAAGCCGATTGCTCCAATTAAAGAATTCGGATAGTGACTACCACAATTTGCCTGACTGGTGACGCCAGTCACTTAATGTGAGTGTGCGTATGTGGGCTACTGAGAGTTCACATGCCTGACAGGCTTAACCATCGAAGTTTTTTAGATCACACCAAAATCGTAACAGACTTGATTCATTGACCATTGGTCAACGCAACCGCCTAAATGTTAAGATCATAGTGCACAACTTATGGTGAACCTTTTCAAAACCCTTAGGTTCAATCTTGTCAGCAAATAGAGAGACTTATTCCCCTTTTTTGGCAGTACGTAGCGCCAAACTCCCAAGAAAGGGATTAAAAATGTTCATTGTAAGTAGAAAGGCATCCAACACGACCAGCGAACCAGATGACCTACATGAAGAACTAGTAATGACGATAATGACGAGTGATTAAACCGAGGAGGATTTGGAAAAAGTCTTCAAAGAGCACACACCACAAATTCCAAAAGCGATGGATCACGTGTGCATTTGTCGAGCCGGGTGTAAATGCCACCAGCAAGCGGCTCCACCGACCCGGCGATCAATCAATCATTCAATTAAGCCAGTGCAATTACTACTGAGAGGGGTAGAAATGCCTGTTTGGTGATTCAAAGCAAGTGCAGGCATGTTTGGTATTTTAAACAATCACAAGATCCACTCTTCAGTAGTTTTCACCCTGAATGTTAAGTCCAAATCACCAAATTAAGGTGTGAAACTTTCCACTAAACGATGCCATTGCGTGGACTTAACAATAAACTATAAACGGAAGTACGTTCTGCACCTTAATTTCATTTGCTCATGGTGAATCTACCTCATGCTTACGCCTCTCGCAAATGTTACTCATTGTCTTAGACCCTAGTCAAAAAGCCCTTTTAACTAAACTCTTGGAAATGAAGTGCCTCCGTTAACTAGCTCCTGACAAATGTTTGTTGAGTAGTTGAAACGAACCAGTACTTCTCTGACAGAACATTTGGCGGGGAGTGCAGTGATGGATGCTTCTCATCCTGTTTCATCATTCCAAGCTGTTCATTCACTTTCGCCCATGATCCTTCTTTGGCTAAGGTTACCCTAAGAAAGCAATTTGGTGCGTTTTGAACTCAGCATCGCATGACCACGATTAATTTGAGACGGGATGGATGCCTCTTATTTTCCTCTCATCGAAACGAAAAGTTTCTCCAAAGTAAGATTCGCTTTTTCAACTTTTAAAGTTGTACAACAGTTACTAATTGGGCTTCAATCACGATTGCTGTCTTGTTTAGAATGAATGGTTTACTACATCGTTTACTACATAAAAATGAAGCAACGGAAACTCGAGCCACCTGTAGATGATATATTACCTTAAAGACGATGTATGCTGTTCGTTCACCACTTAGGCCTGATCCGCGTGTTAATAAGGCAAAAGGACACAATGCCATCTCCTACTTGATCCTTGCGTAAACCACCTTTTTGGCCACCACCATTCAATTCAACATTAGAGGATGCTGCTCCAAACAAACTAGTTTCCAACTACTCTAATCAATCGTAATACGGGATTGACTTTTCTGTTCAAGAGCGGAAGGGCTTTCTCAGTGCAACTCATTCTCTTTCACTTCCTCCATCACTGGCATAAGTGAGCTGTACCCCCACAGCAGTTTCGGTGAAAGTGGATACAGGCAGCTTCTGGAATATGACATCGAATTCACCTCCCTTAGTGAAGCAAACAGTCTTGAGCCCAATCACGAAGATCAACGGACATGGTTGCTTCACAAATGTTCGAAAATAAACCAGCTAACCAACATAAAGCACACTAGGGAGTGTCATACCAGTGACTGGCAAATCCAACGATGCTTCTAATGCATTTAACAAGCGCTTACATTCCGCTTCAAAGAATTGCAGTGAGCTATGTCAAAAACACTGCAGTTTATTTCGGTCATCTAATATTTTTCAGATATGCTGAAGTATCTTTATCAAATACTACCGTATTAACATGAAACTTTGGCCAACGGCAGCACCATTTTAACATCAGAGTACATCACCACGTAGGCACAAAAGCGACATTTTAAAGTAGTAATTTAAAGAGAACTGGAAAAAACTCCACTGCTGGCAAGCCGCTACAATATGCTCATAATCTTGAGGTTCTAAAATACATAAAAGACCTACTCTTGCGAACTTGAATGAGGTCTGGTCTCATGCCAATAAGGAAGCATCGTTTAAGGCGACAAGCGGGACACTCGCGTCTTGTCGAAGGAGATACAACGTGCTCTCCAGACTTGGAAGTGCAAGTCAAGTCCTAAAAGGTTGAAGCATTAAAAATTGACTGCATCAGCACATTTCCACAACTCACTAAGTACAACCTCCACCTGCAAGCTCACGCAACAAATGGCAAAAAGGGCGAAAATATTTGAAGCAATTATGAAAATGAGCACTTATTAGACGCTGGACATAGGTTATGCAGCTGAAATCTCCAAAGGTTCCGGAATTCCACTTTTTAGTTGTTTTGATGGATCCTTCTTTGCAGACTGACATAGAGTGTTAGCGTTTGAAAATTCCTAAGGTGTTGATGTTTTCAAGCCCTGCAAGGACCTGTTAATGACGCAGACAAGTGGAAATATTTCTTAGTTGATAGCGCTCACCACAGATAAGTCCAAACGCAACTGCCGCAGGCTAATCATTGCGATTTAACAGGAGGATGTTAGGCATCATCAAGGTTGCGTAACCGAGACTCACGCACAATGGCGCCACTGAGCAAAACAGGGCAATTCGATAGCCAACGCCAGTTGCCAGTGCGGGTCGGCATCGTGAACATCAGCTCACATTCGTCTGTGATGCAGAACTCGAAAGATTTTCTAATTCTGTGACGTAGATGGTGTCATGAGTCAAGGCTGCCTGGCGCATTAATAATTGATTCGCGGTTCAACACACTAGCAAAACTGCGTTCTCACAACACCACGCGGCATGGCAGGAACCAGCACACAACCATAATTCATTCCTCCGTCCTATGCTTACAAAATTTGGCTCTGTTTATTGCTGATGGCTTCCAGATTCGCATTAAATAGTGACAGTTGGTAACTGCTCTGTCTAATAAGCGCCACTCTGGATGGACAATAGGTCAAGTAAATAATCGCCTTTTAGGTATCGAGAAGACAAACTACTACCCATCTTTTATCCAGTCGCATAAGAATTGCCATTTGTTGACCTCTAGATCTAAATGTCTTCGGTTTCATGAAATCTGGGTGCGGTGGTCAAGATTGGCACGTTCATGCCTGACAGTAGGAGGAGGAAAGAGGTATAGGCTGTCAATTTGCTGTTCATCGATGGCTCTTCATTGTGTAGAACTCTGTCACAAAACTATTAAATTGACCGTTGCTGATTATCAGCAAATAACCATGCTCCTACGGCAAGGATCCTCAAAGAGACAATAATTGCGCTATCGGGTGCCTCGCGTTCTTAAGCTACTTCAGCATGTCTTGTTGCAGCACTGTCTCCGCGGCTAACGCAGCTTACCCTTAATCATATCGCCTGCATTTTTGTTGAATGTGAAGAGGGTGTGCCGTTTGGCGGTATGGTTCGCTATAGCATTACCGAATTCGCGTAGAAGTCGTGCCAATCAATGGCAGCTTGAGTTTATCTCAATGCTCTGCATGTTTCAAAGATGCCTCAGGATTTGAAGAAAATGGACTTTATCTGAGAAAACGAGAATGCCGCCTGTGTATTTTTCCGCTTAGAATTGTTTGCCTCGGGTGTACACGATCACGACCTATCATGTAGCGAGAACAGCTATGGCAGTTGTTACGACCTTCTGCAAACACTTCTATTTATCATGTGCGGCGAAATTTGGGGAAAAAGTAACAGAGCAACGAGGAGCCAGCCACACGCTAAATTGACACCCAAAGAGCAGGAAATCGGCAAGCAGGAAGGGGTCTCCTGCAAAACTTACACGCAGGCCTCGTTGCAGAGCCTGCAAGTAGGCGTCCGTGGTGGTTGCATCACCGCTGCTCCGAAGAGCCGCAATTATCGAAGGCAGAGCCTTGATTTGGTTTGTGAAGAGAGGATGGGTGTAAGAAAGTCAGCATTCTGGCATGTAACTACCCACCTACAACCACATGGTCATCAACAACGCCTGTTCGTAAGTGGGTGGAATGCACCCATTCCAGAAGTACTACCTTTAGCCTAGATGCGATTTCTATCGAAGTTCCCAACGCTGTGCAAAAACTTATGGGCCAGTTGCTTACACCACCGTTGACATTCCTCCAATGGGACAGGGCAAAACTTCGTTTAATTCACTTTTTATCCTGTATAAAGATATTTTGGACCCCACACCGCGGCAGAAATTACAAGGGTAATTTGTTAAATCCCGAAATTTACTACCGTGTATAGCAGTTTGCTTGTAGTTAAAAGGATAATGGAATGAAATTTACGGTAGGTTTGTGCTGAAGAACTAAGTTGGAATAGTGCTCGAACTAGGTGACTTTAAAAGGACTCGTCAAACTCCAAATCGGTCATTATGGAGTTCTTGCGC